TGTGTGTCTCTGTGTGTGTGTCTCTATGTGTGTGTCTCTGTGTCTCTGTGTGTGTGTGTGTGTCTGTCTGTCTGTCTGTCTGTCTGCCTGTCTGTCTGTCTGCAACACTCCGTTTCGAGCAAAGGCTGCCAAGTAGCTCATGAATAACGTCCATGCATCCATGGCACCAACTTCCAATGACTCAAAGAAGGCGATAACAGCATCATCGTCAAAATGTTTCTCAAAGTCTTCGATTGTCACCTGCAGTATGGCATGGCCGCCACTCGCCACTGCTAAGCCTACCGCTGACGCATGTTCTCTCCGCGACAAGCCTGGCCCAATCCTCGTTCGTCGATCCTTTGAAAAAGATTAGCAACTTGGCCCTTCAGCTCGATCCGGCTCTGGACCAACGACATCACCTTCTTCAGTGCAGCACAAGCGCAAATGCAACATGGTCGACTCGAAACAGCACATCTGAAGTGAAGCTGCGGTCCTGGGTCAGACCTGTTTCAAGACAATTATCTCTCACTCACCGTGTAGGCGCCTGCGTTGGAAGCTTGCTCTGCGACCGTCAACCGCGGCCAAGATGCTAACATTTCATGGTCACGTTCGGCTGCTTTGATAGCACTGTTGCAGAAAACTCCAGTCATGACCTCGCGCGACGACTTTGGGTTTCTGAAGTTCCATCTCTGGGGCAAGGGTCAAACTCCTTCTGGCCCAATAACTCAAGGCTAAACCACAATCCCCCAACAGAAAAAACTGCACTGTCCACCAAGGAAAAAAATTGTGTGCGGGAAGTCTGCGTCTATGTCATTAAGCATGAGTGCAGGTTCGTGGTGCATGGTGCAATCATCAAGCAACATATGTGGACCGCCCGCTCCACCATATGTTGAGGACATAGTTGCGACAAGCATCAATAACGAAAGCATGCCTTTGTCGTAAACCAACCCTGTCCTTCAGGCCAACCCAAATAGCAGGCAACCATGTCAAGAGGCTTAGCAGGAGAGTTAGGGAAAAACGATTACGGGTAATACACTCCCAAACACTATGTTGAAAATTGGCGGTGTGATTTTTGCAAAACGGGCAACCATAGCTGAAACCGAAGCTGGCCTCCTGAGCTTTGCCCGCCCTTGCAGGACAACCGGGGCATCACGGCCAATAGCCAAAACATACCGTGCTGAAGTTTCTGGCGTAGGAAAAGACCCACGGACCTTCTCTCGATCGGGGTGGCACCCCACGAAACACTTGTAACGAGAACCAAAAGCCTGCCAATCAGCGAGAGGAGAACCCAAAAAAGAAGCAGCACGAAAAGCATCTGTAATCATATCGGCAAGATTGACCCCAAAAAACTTCTCTCAATTGCTTGCTGGTCTATCTGTGCTCCTCAGCACAAGGGCGCTTCCGAGTGAGACAAAAATTTGCTTGTTCGGACTCTTGAGAGCTCAGCCATACTTGGCCTTGGGATGGCCCTTCAACAAGCTGAGTCTGCTGGACCTGCGCTTCCACCGCCCAACTGCATGAAGCATATGAGCAAGCACGCCGGGAAGTAAGAGACCAGCCGCCAACGAAATGGTAATGACTAACATCGCTGCAACCTGCCCAGCTAATACTGCTTGGCGGAATTCGCAAGCAGTAGGCTCAGCCGTTTCGCCGCCAGTCGCTCCTTGGAGTTAAAAGCTCCCCATCCTCAGAGTCTGGAACCTCCTGCGGCAGTCACAAAGACGTCGCGGCGTGCGAACTCAGTTCGGAAACGATCTGCATCGGGCCGGGCCTCTACATGTCTCCTGCGCAATCAACTGGTTCTGCTGATGCACACGTGCAATGCTGCCTTTTCTGAATCTTAGTAATGCCAGACCTGTATACGATCATAAGCCAAAAACGGATGCCAAGGGCTCATCAACAGACCGGCAGGCACTGACTATCCACACGAAGTTCATCTTGCCTTTCTTACGCCTATTTCCAGCACGTTGAGTTTGTCACTGAGAGGAACTGCAGACGCAGATCCGGGAAGGCCAGCACAAAGCAGCAGGAAGCAAAAGCAGGCAAGGGGAGAATGGAGACTCTCGGCCTCCCTCCGCCGTAAGCACTGCGGGTACTAGCATAGCAGTTACATTGGAAAAACCGAAGGAATGGCCATCGAGGCTGTTGTTAACTCTCTTGCCAGCAGCTTCTTCATGAATGTTTGAAAGGGTCTTACGTGATGTCTTGATTGCTCAAGCCAAACAAAAACCACCAAGTAGCTCTCAGCTGTAGCACACGCTGGTAAACCAACTTGCCACGGCGGGCACCCGGAGACAGCTGGTGCCGCTGCGGCTACGCTGCAGGACTGCTACGTCGGACGCTCGACCTGCCCCAACCGTGCGCCAGACTGCCACTAACAGTAGCAAGCTGGGACATCAAAGCTGAGTCGCAGCTGTCCTGTGAGATGCCATTCATCCCGCAGCTTGTTCCAAGCCCGTTGCCGCCCACTAACAAAACTTACAACTAGGCCAGTAGCAGAAGCCGCTTGCGACATGACGTGAAGGGAGCTTATGCTAGCAATGGCCCAGGTGCAAGGCCTAGCATCAAGAGTCACAGAACTCGCCCACGAACGCAGACAAAGAGAATCGGCTTTGGAGAGCAGGATGGAACAAGGTGCCAACATGACCGCGCTGGTCAGAGCCATTGCCGAAGGACAAACCACAATAAGAAAGAACCTGGTCCGGAGTAGAGGCAAAGCTCTCACATTGGTAAACAACCGAGGTGTAGCAAGGCCAGACAAACTCGAGGGAGATGAAGGACACGATGCTCAATGTAAAAATGGAAACAGCAAGATGCTGCCATCAGCATGGCAGCAGCCCGCATATGCATCGGATAGCCCAAGAGCCTGGACGGCAAGTCCTTAGGTTGTTGCTAGAGTCCTGGAAAGGTGTGAGGTGCAAAGCCTGCTACATGAGCACGACTGCAGATGGCCTCCTCGTCGCATGGGCCTAGAGGTTTTCGTTGCCTAGAGGTTTTCGTTGCCTCGCGAGCTTTAGCCGCCATGCCGTTAGCCTGTGCCGTAAACCGTAGATAACTCATAGGGTAGAGTTTCAACTTTCAACACCCGCCTGGCACCCCCACTCTTATCGCAACGATCATCCGGGTCTTGCAAGGTGCGAAGACTCGATAGCAGTATCATGCACACCCAGTGCCTTTCCGGCCTGCTTTCCCTTGGCCCCACCTTTTCGAGGTGCGCTCAAGCACGCGCCCGTCATAAACCCCATTCCGTGCTTCGGACCAGCCTACGTAGGAGGATAAGGGAGCAAGTGGATTACAAAACAAGTTGTGCAAAATCCTATCACGAGTATCACGGTCGCCTACGCATGCAACATGCTAGGACGTCGTCGCGCATGCTGACGAACTAGCTTGCTGACTAACTGTGGTTAGCTAGCTACCTAACCAACGAACTAACTAGCTAGCCAACTAACTAACTAACTAACTAACTAACTAACTAGCTAGCTAGCTAGCTAGAACTAACTAACTAATTGCCTGACTGACTAACTCACTCACTATCTATCTATCTATCTATCCATCCATCCATCTATCTATCTAGCGATCTAATTGACTAACTAACTGCTTTTCTTTGTTCTGGTGGCAACAGCCCCCACGCGAACAGCGCAGAAGGAACGGCAACCATCCTACATGACAAAAGCAAACCACTTTGTGGCACACAGCGGGACATCACTGGCACACATGAGCAATATCACCTGTTGGCAGGACGATAGCACGGCACATGCTAGAGGAAGGCTTGAAGCACACCCACTCACACAGCAGCGCGGCTTCTTTGGGGACGTGGAAGTTGAAGATACTGACCAATTACTTTTCAGAAGTCAAGAACTTAAGTACAACATTGGGAAACTGTGCACACTTCGAAGCGACCGTCTAGCACCAAATATTGTATAAAGGGGGGCAGCGGGTAGCTGACACGCCGAACTGCTTCTCTTCGAAATACTGACGCGTTCCCGTGCGGCCAAAAGACATTGAGGACGGCGAAGCCTCTGTTGCAAGCGAGTCATCGCTGACGTCCCGGATCAGTATGCACAGCAATGACAACCATACATGCAGAATACGATCTTAGACGAAAAGAAGCTGCAGAAGGCAATGTAGAAGTGAAAGAGCTGCACCCAGATGTTTCCTGCGATGCACACGGCACTCGCTCAGCTTGCTGCAAGTGATCCATTCCTAGCTTCCTCAGCTGCCCATGTGGATCATGACAAGAGGTGCGAACATGTGCGAACAATCTATCTAGCTTCTTGCAGGTTGCATCTTAAACTAGGAACAGCGGCTCGAATCGGATGACACTTGGACTGGAATAATCGGCGACACAAAGCCTGCCCTTGACTTTCGGATTTCTCGTGGTCAACAGCAGGGGTTCGAAAGTTCATCTGGCGAAGCCGAACCTGGTGGTGCTGCCTGACGACAAAGTTCTGAATGTTTACAGATAAAACAGGTTGTGTTAGCTTCGAAGCACAGTCACAGCTGGAGGTTGTGGCTGTCAGGCGATTAGATCTGTGCACACGCCTCTCTCCACGGTCTGCATGCAACATGACAAGAATGAATGGGTGAGGGGCCATCCTGGGAGTTATCCGACTACCCAGGACGACGAAGCACCCCCAACAGGCAAACAGATCACTCCACATGGGCGGCATCCTTGCATCAACATCAAGGCTCTTCACGGCTGTAGCATGGGTGCAGCTCTTGCCCTTCATGCACTCGGAACCACTGATGGGCTTTCGGGCGTATCACTAAATGAACCGTGAACTACATGCCATGCAGGCTGTCCTTCGGGAATTTTCGACAGGGCATTTGCTGGCTCACCCCATGTGACTCCGTTTGAAATCGATCGGAAAAGCGTCAAGTACGACTCATAGAGTGTTCCGAAAGATTGCTCCAAGACTGTATCGTTCATCTCCACGACGCCCGTTTCACGCACGTAGTCGATGACGGCGTCTGTAAACAAAATAGAAAAGATATAGATAATGAGCGCCAGTAGAATCATGGCCCAGAACAGTGATTTCATCGTCGCCATCAATGATTGGACCAGAGTCCGCAGACTCCGGAAGAACTTGACCACGCGGAACACACGTACGACCTTGCAAGCTGGTCTTCAACGCAAGATGCTCCAGACTCTAAAGAAGGCCTGGAGAAGTCATCCCCACACCCCGGCCGAGGCCGAAAAGAGCCCCTTGAAAGGCAAAGCACACGCACCAGCTTGCCCACACGCAAGAGCCTGAGGATGCGCAGGTTGCCTGACAATCTGGCGGATTCTGCAACAGTGAAGCACAAAGCGACGGGCCAAGGCAGCCAGGCTGCTGTTGGTAGAGGTGCTGCCTCAGGTTGTGTCGGGAGTTTGGTTGTCACCCTGTGGCCACCTAAACTTCCTCGTTACTGACTCCAGGCTCATTTTTTTGCAGCAAGCCACTGTGCCGATTGTTGAGCAGCTCCGATGCCAGCTCCACCCAGGAAGACATCACCTGAGATGTGCTACCATGGCATGCTGCCCGCTTGCCGGCACCACAACACATCCACACCTCACCTAGTTATACTCTGGACAGGCTCTGGACAGCATATCTGTCCATCAGGTATACATACATACATATAGAAATACAACCTAGTACAGCTCCTTGTCTCGGGGGGCCCTATTCTTTATGTCACCCTGACCTTAAACCCTGCCTTCGTCTCCAGCTCGTGCTCAGCTGGGCTCTAAAATCAAGCCCTCTGTCAGGCTCTGTCCCTCGAAGAATGGATCCTACAAACTGCAAACTACGTCCTCACCTCGGGATCTGCACTGGCATAAAATGAAAGCTTCTTCTCTTTTCCTGTCGTTGGGTGAGACCCCACCAGCGCACCCAGTCCGTGTGACAGCAAGAACCGCTAGCCTCCGCTGCTAACCGAGATCCCTTGCACCACATGTAGGAGTGCACGGGGGGAATGTTGACATAACATTGGTGAAGCTGATGATGAAGTCGGAATACTTCACGTCACTGCCAAGTAGCCACGAAAATGTCTAGCCAATTCCAAGCCCAGTCAGACGATTTCCAAACATACCTCAGACTTCGATTGAATGCTGCAGGTCAAACTGCTTCGTGCCTCTTGTTTGGCTTCCCCTGTTCTCGACTCACAGCAACGCAAGAAGGGAAAGTCGAGGCACTTCCTGCACCCATCAGCCGTCAGCCGCAAGCAAACTTCCAGAGTGAACAGCAGCGAGTACATAGTGTGCAAAGTCGTGAAGAACTCAATCCCCGAGGAAAAGTCTCTGGTTACGGCCTGCCATTCCAAGTGAATGCCTCAGTGCCGAGATGCCAGGAGCGTTTGATCGACTACTTGAGGCTTGAGGCATACTAGGCAAACGACCTCAACGGCTTGATCTTGTAGAAAGGTGTTCTGATCTGATCTGAGGCCGGGGGTGACGAGGGAGATGCTAAGAAATAGTTAGCTGTTCGCACTACAGGAAACCGAAGTCATGACAGAGTTCCCAAAAGCAGCGAGTTCGTGAGCACTGCAAAGCCGAAGAGAAATGTGCAGAATTTAGAATCGACGATCGCCTGCGCGTAGTGCTGACCTCAATTCGACGTTTCTGAGACTCGATGCTTTGCATTCCGCTGCGGCAAGGGGGCATGCGGTTCGAATTGCTTACACAATCAAAGTCACACTCCGCATGGCGCGAACTTCCCATGAAACGATTCCGCAGGCCAAGACACATACATGCAGACTCGCACTCCTGGACTCGCGCAGCTGCATGTTTTTCTTCTCGGCTTCTTCAACCACGCGGCTGTGAGCCAAACGTGCCTTACAAGACAGCTTATCAGCATCACAACTGACTTTGCGGCCCTGGCGGCAACAACCCCGGAATCAATATCAAAACGGCAAGGACCTCGGCAGCACATCAGCCAACGGAGGATATCAAAGCGAGCTTACCACACACGGATCTCTATGCCACATTAGGGAGGCGGAACAGGTCGAACCGGCCTTGTCGTAGCTGTTCAGGCTCGGGGTGTGCTGGACACGCGGAAGCGGGGAGCGGCGCCGCTTCCCCAAAAAGCTTCCCTCCGAGGCCACCGAGGTGACCCTCCCCAGCTCCTTCGACGACAACGAGGCATCCTCCGGCATGCCACCAGCGCGCTGCCAGTGCACCTGGCACAAGGAGCAAGCAAAGCGCAGGCAAAGCACGAAGAGGGCTCCAAGCGCTGTCGCAGCTCCGGGCCGCCGGCCTGGGTGTTGCGGTTCTCCAGAAGACGAGCATCCAAGGCCTGGAGCCAAAGCTCCAGGCGCTCCAAGAGTTCCACTTGATGGCTCTGAAGCACCTCCAAAAAAGGGCCAAGGCTGCATGAAACGCTGCTCTCCCCCATGAATCTCCCCCCGGCTACCGCCCCTTTTTGAGAACGCTTTCGACCTCGTCCACATGTGCAATGACCTTCGGTGTCGCCTCTTCCATGGCCACACGGCTTGCACTGCGGGAGAGGCTCACTCCAGCTCTCTACTATCTCTGGAAGCTAAAGCAGCGGGCGGCCTTGTAGGAATAGAATAGCACAGTGAGAGGGAGAGAGAGAGAGAGAGGGACCAATGGAGAGTGAGTGAGGTGAAAGACGGAGAAAGAGCCCGAGAGAGAGATTGGTCTGGCAGATGAAAGAAGGAAGCGTGGCTCACAGATCGAAGGGGACGGCACGTGCAAAGTCTTGCCAGGCTTTTCGGTGCTTCGTTTGCAGGATATGCCAGTGGATCAGATTCGGCCACGCTTCGCATCATGTGTACGCTGATCTACATGCGCAAGCCAATCTGGATTTTGAAACGCACCTTCCCTTTGAAAGCAAGACCACACATACTACACTTCGAAAAGTTGCAACTTCAATGTATCTGTTGCATCACGTGGCCAGCAGGAGGTCCGAGTCTCCTTCGGAGCTCGATTCCCGCTCTCACATTAACGAGGCCCCCCGGCCCAGGATACGCATCGCGGAAGTAGACGAAGGTCCCATCGCGACACTACAACCTCGAAGCCTAGTAGGACATTGGGGACAGGCCAAGCTACGCTGTCTCCAACTTGCTGAGACAGCACTTGCTTCAAGTTGGCAAATGCCCCTGGGAAAATGATTCTAGATCCGACGTCTCAGACGCTGAAGGGTTCTGGCCGTGAGTCGTGCCCCAACTTGTTCACGGACTTGCTGACCTTGCACGACTAATCACTACTGCTGGAGCTTGGCCAGCGCGATCTGCTACAGAGAGGTCCGATGTATGGTTGGATCGTTACCTGCAGAACACAACCCCTTCCCGAACCGATCCCAGAACTCCTGTCGTATGCTGCCGCCGCGCAAGTCGATTGCTTTGCTTCTGCGCATCTTGCAGTTGCTGCACTTGCTGGCTCAGCTTCACCTCAGCAGACTCAGGGCCCCTATGAACGACGCATGTACGAGTAGATGCCCTCGTTGCCGGACAGAGCGGCCGTAGTCTGCCTGAGGGCGAACCTTGTTTTCGAAAGCTCAAGCAAGGTGCCCGCGGCCTTCCCCGCAATTTCCAGACCGTAATGGTACACTGCGCAGCCCCACATGATGCCAGACCCTACCGGACCGCGTGCTTTGCCCCGGACTTGGGTCACAGCCAGTTCATGACAGGCTGCAGGTCTGCAGATCGGGCAGGACCGTGGAGTTGCATACACCGTTCCGTGAACTCCTCTGCGGGAACTAGCGTCACAGGCACCGTGAACTGACGGGCACAGGTGTGCAACCCAGCTGACGTCGGAGAATGGCTTCCAGCGGAGGCAGTATAGTCCTCCACACTCACAGTGTGATCGCCATCCATGTCAAGAGACACGAACAGCGTCCAAGCATCCACAGCTCCGATCCTGGCATTTCTCAAACAATTGAACTTCAGTTTCCATTCCCACATCCATCCGCATGACTTCTGTGGTTCGAGAAGATTTCGCATTTCAGACGTTCAACACATCAAGCGTGCTGCCGGCGGGATGCAGACGAGTCTCTGCAAAGACTCAAAGAAGGCCTTTACTCCTTCATCTTGAAAGAACAGCTCGAATTCCGTGTAGGTGATGTGTCCTTCGCCTCCAACCAGCTTGGAAGGCAGCAGCCACTGCAGCTCTGTTGATTTACGATGTTGATTTTGCGACGATGTGGTCGATTTAAAGCTGAACAGAGCGGACCCCTTCCCCCACCAGAAGCAACTCCACTGTGCTCTGCTGTATCAGAAGCCGTACTGCAAATATGCGCACAGGTTCCTCGGGAGTCGATTTTGGTGAACAGGTGCGACACGAGATCCCTGAGCTCCTGCCGATGTCACACAACATTTGCATCGAGCTCCGAGAATGAAGGCTCGGCGCTATCAAACATACTTGCAGACGCAGGGATGCGACACCATAAGATTGTCATGCGCCTGGCGAGTGGATTTGACTTGTTTCGCTTCGGAGCTACATTAAAGGCATTTCCAGGAATGAACATTGAAGCCTGCCCGTACATCCCGGCTCCTGCCGCGTTTGGACCAATGATTGCACGACCATTTCATGATCGCTCTCCGCTGCTTTGATAGCGCTGCTGCAGAAAAAACCAGTCATGACCTCGCGCGAACTAACTAACTTTGTTCCGGTGCGGGCAGCCCCCAAGTGGACAGGACACCTCATAGACCCTCGTTTCAAAAGGAGGGGCAACCATCTGACATGAGTGCAGAAGCGCGGCCTACAGCACGAAGCTAGAGGCAACACTTGACAACTCATGACCACGCGCGGCCCCTGGGTTTGTGGCACAGGGTGCAAACAACAGCAGCATATGTGGCTCCATCATCACTTCCTGTGTATGCGCGGGCAGCAAGCGACCTCACTGGCGCACTGGCCAGCCGACCTAGCTAACCAACTAACCAATTAACCAGTTCAGGTGCCAGACACCTGGCAATGCGCAGTAGACCACTGTAAGCCGTAAACCTGTGCATGAAGGGCAACCATATAGCATGAGGAGAGCAGCCGGAGCCGAAGGCAGAAGCAGCCCGTGGCAGCAGGCTGCAGACTCGGGCACTCGACCACTCGGCTTGTAACAGACAAGCGCGCAGAAAACAGGAACCAAGTTTCACAAACAAACGAAGACTAAGAATCAATCATGACCCCAAAGTTCTGAAAATCCACATGCACACGTTCATACAAATGGGCTTGCTTCAGTGCCGCAACCCTACTGACCACCGCTACCGCTACTGCCACTGCCGCCGCTACCACTGCGACTGCCAGTGCTACATAGTGATACTACTTCTACTTCCACTACTACTACTACTACTACTACTACTACTACTACTACTGCTACTGCTACTGCTACTGCTACTGCTACTACTACTGCTACTACTACTATTACTACTGCTACTACTACTACTACTACTACTACTACTAGTACTAGTACCGCTATCACTACTACTGCTACTACTAACACTACTAACTACTACCTACTACCACTACTACCGTTACTACCAC